CCTTCGTTTTTTTCGATGATTTAGGTGAATCAGTCCCTCCTCTCCCTCACCCCGTTTTTGTTCTTTTTTTCCTTCTTCTTGGTTCAGTTTTTTATATTTATGTCTGATACATAAGTGTCCACGTATAGCCTTTTGCTATACGTGAAACCATCAAGCAATGTCGTAAGTAGGTCGGCTTTGTTTTGAGGCTTAGGGCGATGATGATAAAGACACACCAGAGATAGAGCAGAATGAGATGTCATCCTACGACATCAGGATCTGATTCAGGAACCCATCAGGATCCGATTCCCATCAGGATCCGATTCACAGGATCCGATTCAGGAACCCGGTGAGCTGTAGGATGACAATATCATTCACCGACACATGACTAGCGAGAGTTGACCCGAACCATCTTAGGTTATTGGTAGTCTTATGCCCGACAGCGCAATCGACTCGTGCACAACTATTTTTCAAAATTGATAAAAACAAATTTGATAAGAACAGATACGTCTTTTTCTAAAACAAAAATACATTTTTCGCAACAAATAAAATTGATACAACTCATCTTTGGCATGTTTGAAACCTATGTGCATGCTAAAAATATAAATTTTAAATTTTAAATTTGATTGTCTACCGGTTGATTACCTAATCGGGCTAAGGATTACCCTCCTGAGTTAGGTTTGATCGGACACCCTTCTAGTTGAGTGACGGGCTTTATACATCAGGGTGATCGAGTAGCCTTCGACGACCCTCGAGTACTAATATATAGTTAAGCCTAGCCCCGAATCGAGTGCTTGCGGTTCCCCTCTTTTCGGACTTTTTCATGTCTTTCTTGGAATTTTTGGACAAAGCACTCGTGGCTTCTTTTCAGGATTTTCCCGTGTTTTCTACGATTTTAATCGATTTGTCGATTCGTCGATTTCCTCGCATTTCCCTTGTCGTGAGTCTTTTGACATCTTTCTCGAGATTTCTGGACGACGTTTCTTTGTTTTCGTTTATATAAAATATTTCAGTCTGCCTCCTCAAATTTTGTTGCTTGTACCTGTTGCATCAATTACATCTAAGGAACAGCGGATCTCCCAGGTATACAGGTCTGTTTTATGTTTACAACATGTTATTCTCTTATAATCACTTCCCTGTTGTACTTTTACTTTTCTTTACACCGCATGTTGTACTCTTTTCTTTACTGCATACTCTACTGTTTGTCCTGTGCTACATACTCTACTGTTATGCTATACACTGTACAACTTCAACATGTCAACACTGTACAACTTCAACATGTTATCTATAAAATATTTGAAGAACACCAACCATAGGGCCGCTGGATTTGACATTATAACCTGACACTCTTGAAAACTAAACTCGTCACGACAAGGAGTTTGGAACTAGCGCGGTGGGCAACACGACCATCTTCAATAGCAGAACTTGTCTTCCCCAACTAAACTATTCATTTCCTAGATATTAAAACAACAATCCATAGGATTTCGAGGTTGTTCGCCTAGAGCAACATAAATCCTCAAACACATATTTTAGGCATTTGTACAACCATATTGTACAATTTAAGCCCTAAACTCGCCTTAGGATTCTGAGGTTGTCATTCATCATGACTTAAATCCTCACATCTTCAAGGTTATTTGTGCTGATTGCTTCACACAAATGTAAATCCTAATAAATAATAAAAATTATTTCCTCGAAACTGAAGCCAAACCGTAGGGTAGACTGGGATGTCACCGAGAATCTCCTCTGGATCTGTGGCATCCCCTAGTTCTTCTTTCTTTTGATTCTGTAATAAATGTTCCAAATTTGAGACATTCTCTTTTGCACACCTCTTTGTCCGATTTCGTTGAAAAGTCCTATCCTTTTGACCTCCTTGAAAATAATTTTTTCTGATTTTTATCGAGAGTATTCGATTTTTATCGAGAGTATTCTTAGAGTATTCTTAAGTGACTTCGATCATTTAAGATTTAGTTAACTATAAGGGTTTGCCCTTATATGAAGTTTTTCCGAACCCAGCTTAAAATAAATCCTATTTAATTTTTCATATTAAATAGAAAAATTTGTCGGCAAATAAAACGGTCAAAATATTATCATCACTAACATATTGGACCTCCCTTAGTAGTGGTAAGGTATACTATATGTTTGACAACTATGAAATTCTCTTATCTGGAGTTGCCTTGTATTTGGTATCAACTCATACTTATGCTTTCTTGGACGACTAATGCCAATCTTACTGATGCTTCTCTTAACGCCTGTAAATGTATAGCTTGTGGCACCACGGGATTCTCGAGATTGGGTTGTGTGATTCTTGAGATCAAGTTGTGGGATTCTTGAGATCGGGTTGCGGGATTCTATGATCCCACAACCGAGCAGGTTGATCTGCATCACTTATTGACATGATTAAATATTACCAAATATGTGTAATAACTATGTGAGATTTACATAAGATACAATTATTCTCTAGTTAGCATGAATGATTATTTCGATAGTTATTTCAACCCCTTCTTTAAGAATAATTTTTTTCGAAAGTGTATTTTTAAGATATCATAATATCCTATATACAACATGAGGATGCTTGCTTGTAGGAGTGTTTATAAATTGACTAATAATACCAAAAGGAAAATAAATATCAAGTCTATTATGGGATATGAGATAGTTTCCTTACTATTCTTTGGCTATCACACTTTGTCAACCTTAGTTCAATCTTCTTTAAAAGAATCTCTATTTAAAGAATTCTTTCACATGTTTGTAGGACTAACCCAAACATCATAAACTTAAGAAAATCCAAGCTATATTTCTTAGTTTATTTGATCAAGCTCATCCTCAAGTCTTGTGTTTATCCCTCAGGATAGAAACAAGGTTTGAGGTAGAGCGCTCTTTCATTTAAACTGTGAAAATTATGGGGTCAGTTTGATTTTATATTTTTCTAAACTTAATTCTATTTCTATATGTAAATTAATTAAAACGTCCTTCCGAAGCGGGCGACGGGATTTCGATTCCGATAGCCGACAGCTTTCTACGGGCAACTCCCCCAACTTTTTATCGCCGACAGGTTGTTACATATAATTTTAAACCTTGTTTATATATGTGATACCTAATTTTTGGGCTTTATCTTTACACCATTCAACTTTTAATCTTTAAATAATGAAATACCACTTTCAAAAAAATGACATTTATATAAAAATGAAAATTTATAGGTATTAGGTATGTAAATGTACTAGAATCCGAATAATATACACGTATATATACATGAAAATTTAAATATTATATATCTAAATGCCTATGAATTGAATAATTTATCTGTAAGTTTCAAAGTTTAAGTGTTATGTATGTCACAACAACAACAACAAAACCTTTATCCGACTAAGTGTGGTCGGCTACATGAATGTTTTCTTCTCCATTGCCTCTTATTTAGTGTCATATTTTTGTTTAATCCTAATGAATTAAGATCATTTTTTATACAATAAGCCCAAGTCTTCCTAGGTCTACCTCTGACTTTCTTAACATAAGTCGAATCTAAAACACCTACTCTTCTAATTAGATCATCAGTTGGTCGACGTTTAATGTCACTAGACCATCTAAGACGACTCTCTTTAATTTTGTCCGTCTTTGGAGCTACACCAACACGATCACGAATATATTCATTTCGCATTTTGTCTCTTAAGTGTAAAGCTACTCATCCACCTGATCATTCTCATCACGACAACACTTAATTTAGTTTTATGCTTCTCTTTTAATGGTCAACATTCAACGCCATAAAGCATTGCCCATAGAGCATTGCAGATCTCACCACCATCTTATAATTTTTTTCTTTAAGTCTGAGCGATACTTTTCTATCACACAATAGGCCCGAAGCATTCCTCCACTTCAACCAACCAACTTGAATTCTATTAATAACATGCCCATCAATATCACCTTCACGTTGAACAATAGAACCGAGATATCTAAAGCGTTCACACATTTTAATAATTTGATCAACCACAGTTACATTTCTATCACTAGAGCTACTACTACTAAAATTACATTCTATATATTCAATTTTAGTTCTACTCAAACAATGGCCTACAGATTCCAAGGTAGGCCTCCATAATTCAAGTTTTTTTCTGAGTTTTTTCTCTCGTCTTATCCACGAGAAGGATATCATTAGCAAAAAGCATACACCAAGGTACATCCTCCAGTGGCTATCTGGCGGAAAAGAACGAGCAAAAAGAAAATTGGTGTGAATTGTTAGGGATGTTGGAGGATTGATATCGTGAGTGCGTTCGATGGCTATCTGGCGGAAAACAACGAGCAAAAGACGAATCATTGAGATAAGGACATCGAGGGGGATCCATCACATGTTCATGGGCAAGTTATAGGCACACCGCTTATGGAGGGAAAATGCTACAACACTCCAAAGAGCAAGAAAATCATATAATAACCTCAAAATACCTAAAATCCCAGCTTCAGTTTGAAACAACCCCCCACATATATATGAAAGTTTCCTAGTAGGAAATAGTCTAATTAGAGAATAGAAAAATATGATAGAACTAGAGAGGATGGAAGCAAATGAAGGAAGTTAAGTAGGAATAAAGAAAGAAAAATGGAAATGGAAGAAAACAACGACGCAGGACACCCGCAACTGCAGGATCCACTCTTGCCGATACCCGGCTTCCCGCTTCATAAAAACTGTACTTTTGAGGTGGTTTGATCTTTGTTCTTAGGAAAATTTACATACATACCATTTAATTCTTATGTATTTACGTATCTAACATCTAAACATTGATATATATATAATATATATATATAGATATATATAGATATATATATTCATGAAAGTTTACATTTCACCTTTTAGAAGTTAAAATAGTGGTATTTTTATGTGATTTGGAAGCTTTGGGCCGTGCATTTTTAAAGAAGTAAAGTTTATGTATTAGATATGTAAATAAATAGGAGCTGAGTGGTATGGATGTAAATGCCCCTTGTTTTTTATGGTCTAATCAGTATTTCTAGCAAAGCTTTGAATGAAGACTATATGGGTGCAGGCAAAACATAAGATCCAATCAACAGCTGGTCCTCTTGATATGCGTCTTACACAAGTGCCAAAAATGCTTCGTATTTTGAGGATAGAGTGGGCTCCTTCTGCTTTCTGTGTATCATTCAAGGTCCGTTTCTTCTTCCAATTAAATATCAAACTCATTTTTTTTGCTCTTTGGTTATGGTGACTGTTTCATTGCAGATTTTTACAAATTCTAAAGTTTTTTCTATAAGATTTACTGATTAAAATTGGGCAAAATATTTAAGGGACTCGGACAAAATATGAAAAAAGCTGTCTTGATTTGAGAGGAATTTTTCCGCATTACCTCAATTGACGTTTTTAACCTAGTAGAACCAATTTCGGAGTTTAAGGAAAATTCACAGAAACCTTAGGATGCTCTGTTCTATTTATTAACTACTTACTTTTGACATCTTTTATTTATTTATTAGTGAGATTGGCTTTGATTATTCCCACAACAGCGAATTTTACATACCTAGCACACAATTCTTATGTATTTACATATCTCACACCGAAACTTTGATATTTACACAGCAACACTTTGGTGTTTCAAACCTATGCCTGAAATGGTGTGACTCGCTTTTAAGAAATGATAATAATGCTATTTTTGATGTGATTGAAGATTTGAGTGCTGTTTGTGTAAATATGAATGGGTGAGATATTTAAATACATAAGAATTGCGTGCATTGTATGTAAATGCTCCATTATAAAATGATATTGTTGGTTTCCAGTAAGTTGATACCAAATGACTTACCCCCTTCTCTTCCCTAATTTTCTCTGTTTTTTCATCTGAAAAGTTGGAGACAGATCCGGATATCCTGCTCCAAAAAGCTGAATCTGCGCTAAGCAAGTATCAGATGCATGTTGTCGTGGCTAACGAGCTCGCAACATACAAAAGGGAGGTTATTCTAGTGACCGTCGGTGGGAAAGTTAGCATTCGCAAACAGAGCGAGGATGCCGACGTCGAGGACGAGCTTATCAAACTCCTGGTGGAGAAACACAGCGAGTATATTGAATCCTGTAGAATGGGATGAAATTATCAACCACCACAGATGATCTGATAAAGCAGGTATGCAGAATTCTTTCGCACTTGTGGTTTATATTGACAATCTTGAAATTTTAATGGACTGATATGAAATACCAGAGGCTATAAAAATCTTCCTGTTTTTAAACCTCTTTAGAGAAAATAATGTTCGGTGACTTTGGGTATGGAAACACAGATGGTGATAGGACTGATTTTTTTATATCGTTATAACTCTGTAAAGCTTCGGAAACATTTTTTTATTTTTCAGTCAATCAATAGGTTGACTTGAATAAGAAATTGGGTTATTGCTTATCATAGTTGTTCTATTTCTTATTAGAGCAATTATTGGGACTAACGACATCTCTTACAAGCTTTAAAACTGCAGTTTCAAAATATTGGGAGTTGAGATTCTATTACGGTTTCAAGCTTGCATGCAGTCATTTTGGACAATTAGGTGGAAGATGGAAATCAGTTCTGCTTAAAATTTTCATAGTGGTTCTTTCTCAAATATGTCTGAAATTAGTGATTAGAGTGTGTTCTGAACTTGATCTTTTAACTAAAAGAGCAAACTCTCTACCAACTGCAGAAATTGTGCACATAACTTCATCCATTGTTAGCTGCTGAAAACATATGCCTGCATAACTTTGTTCTTCAAATTGTCTATCATTAGCATTTGCAAATTTCTCAGTTTAATCTGACAAATCAAATGGACTAATAATTGAGACGACCATTAGGGATGAAAAATCTATTGATTTTCACTTTAGGCCTGTAATATCTTTAGCTTTTGTTCAATAACATTTCTAATTTTGTTTCAATCATATGTGAATGTGATGTGAGATTACTTTGAGTGAGGTGCAAGTAAGATGTGGATAATATTTGGGAGAAAACATCTACTTGTAGCAAAGAAGCATAGATTTTTTTCACTTGGTGATCTTTTTATTTATTTGCTTTTCCAATATTTTGATATTAGTGTTGCAGCTGATTTGCTCAAAAAGAGGAGATTTTTTATGGCCTTAAAATGACTTTAATGCGATATTTTTCCTATTTCGCATGATCTTATGCATATTTTTGTTTTGTTAGGAGAAAAAGATCAAAATGAGTTCATTATATTTAGAGTAACTTGGTGTTAATATTCTGTCTAGAATTAATAGATGAATAATACTATGGTTCTCACCTTGGTTTATACGTTTAAACAATTCTTTGTATTATTGGTCTCACCTTGGTTTATACGTTTAAACAATTCTTTTAGTATTATTGGTGAATTGTTGTGTGTTGAAAAGTTCACAGTAGTAGAGTAATAATTTAATGTCTTAATGTCGCACGAAAATTTAACATACACACAAATAAAAGAAAAGTAGTAGGAGAATAGAGCGATATTTTTTAGGTGGAAAAAAACCAAGAAGGGGAAAAAATAACGGATCTCAACCTAGTGAAAGTAATCCACTAGACATGGCAGAAATGGGTTAGATTGAAAATTACACTTATCTTTACACAACATAAAAATATATATATATAAGTGTTGGACACAAAAGTTAGATTTTTACTGCAACAGTTGTATGTAATGGCTGCCGACGATTGGGGGTTGGTTGCGACAGATGATACTGGCATGCGGTTAGGGGTTTCAATTCGGGTCAGCGGGTTGAGTTTGTGTCTGACTTGAAAATGACCCAATCCAAATAAAGAACTTAATCCCGACTCGACAAATGAACGAGTCAAAATAAGACCCGAATCTGAGCTTGACCTGCTAACCCAACCCGAATTTGAGCTTGACCCGCTATTCGAGTCATATTTGGGTTTTCGTGTTTAAATTGAATTCGACTTGAATAATAAATTGGTTGAATTCTTTGACTCGAACATGACTCAAAAAAAAATTCATGTCAACCCTAACACGGATTTTTTGAGTCTGAGTTCCAACCATGTTGGCGTGTCGGGTCAATTTTTGACACCCCTATATGCGATGGTCGTCGGTGGGCGGTTGTCAACTATGATTTGCATATCGAGAGGTCGGTGGTTATAAAAATCGGGTCTTCTTCAGAACAAACTATGAAATTTGACTTATTTTTTTTGTCTCCCCCTTCAAATGAAGAGACGATGTCTATTTATTGTCTTTTAGAAACTTTCATTTTGTTCTTTTAGAGCAAGTTTTTCCTAATCCCTTAATTTGATGGTCCATGTTGACTCCTTTGATTATATATGAACTTTAATGATTTGAGTGCTTAAATGACCTCACATTTAACTATTTTAGGCTCGTTGAATTCCTCTCATCGAGACGTTTGATTTGACTATAAATATATCAACTTTAGAGTTCATTTGACTATTCAATTCATTCATAAAACTCGCATCAAGATTTATGCTTCATAAAAAATTGTCAATGATGCATCATGAATAACAAGCCATTCATTCAATGACTATGAAAAATATATATTAATTAGTGATTTTGAATTTATTCAGATTATAATTAAAGCAACAAAATATTTCTTGAACACTTGGGAGAAATGTTAAAGATCCCTAATTTGGGGAACTCCAAGGTTTTATTTTTGATAGAAAATGTGGCTAAATTTTGCCATACTATTATGCATTAATTGCATTATCTAATTATCGCTGAATAAATATGTGAAATATTATTTGTCATTATTTAATATTATTATATTTTATAGATATTTGTAATTGTCATATATGATTGTGTTGCATGAAATCTTAAGCATACAGAAGTAGCTCAATTTAAAATTGTTATATTGTCTTGTACACATTTAATCTTCCTTTAAATGCTCCCTGCATTTTAATAATAATAATAATAATAATAATAATAATAATAATAATAATAATAATAATAATAATAATAATAATAATAATAATAATAATAATAATAATAATAATAATAATAATAATAATAATAAGATAATTTTACATACATACCATGCAATCCTTAGGTATTTTTATAACTGATACGCCACAAACAAATTTTTATCATCCATCACAAACTCGAGGCATGCCACAAATCTCGAGGCAACTTTTTGAGCAAGAAATATTCAAACTTCAATTAAGAGTTATCTAGAGCATCAATTTCAGTAAATTTATAGTCAAATTGACCGACTAAGTGAGACAAACCCAATGATATAAAAACTAGCCCAATCAGAGTCAGATCAAGCTCGGATCAAATCATTAAATCACTCTTAGAGGATTTTTAGAGGCATTTGGAAGGTCAAACAGATGTCGGATATAGCAAGTTTATAGTCGAATTGAGGGTCTCGACAACACGAATCTAACGAGCCTGATATTGCTCAATTCTGACATCGTTAAGACACTCAAATGTCCATCAAACGTCATTTGATTGAGGGAAGCTTTTTGGACCGTCCAATCAAAACGGTTCATATGTCTGCATTAATTGCACCCATAACGTTATAAATAGAGTTTCACCCCTCACATGAGGGGGGAGTGTAGAGAGAGAACTTGAGGCTTTGAGAATGAGTTCAAGTCCAACATCATCCCTACCATCAGCGATCTTCGTTGATCACCACCGGCTGCCAGTGATCATCGTCTATCTCTGTCTACCGCGTCTGATTGCCGTAGGCCACAATCGATCACCGCTGACTTTCGTCGATCACCACCTACCTTCATCGACGACCGTCTATCGCCGTTTTTCGTCAATCACTATTGACCTTCATTGACCACCGCTCATCGTCAACAACCACCGTCGACTTCCGTTGACCCCCACTTGACGTCTTTAGTCGACGCGGTAATCTGAAAATCTATTAATGATTTCCCGTCCGTGCGACAAGGAGTCCTTGTAATCATTAACTTATCGTGGATTTTTATAACTCGGTCAGACTCCGTTGTTTCCCTTTACGAGTTTTCCACGTAAAAACTTATGGTGTCATCACAGGTTGTTTCTCTTTCATCTGAGTGTGTGCTGAATCCTCGTGCAATCCTAAGACAATAATTCATTACCCTACCGCCGCAAATTTTCTAGCACACATCAGTATCTAACCCCAAAACTTTGTTATTTTCACTTAAAATATATTGGTGTAATAAATTTATATTTGAAAATGTGTTGTTCATTTTAACGTGATGCTAAAGTTTTGAGTGTTATATGTGTAAATATGAAGTTTAGATATTAAATAATTAAATAGAAAATAATAACGTTGTATGAATGTAAATTCCCACTGAAAAGTATAATGTTAATGATAGAGTTGTCTGATCCTCCTTCCCTCCACTCGCCATCTATTGTTATATATTAAACATAAATATTAAAAAAAATGTTGGCTTAAGGAGAAATTTAAATCCATACTACACAATTTTTATGTATTTGCATATCTAACATCTTCAACTTGATATTTAGATTTATAACACTTTGTCATTATAAAGGTGCGTTGGACTTTTAAATAGTTAGTTATAGTGATATTTTTAATTTGGTGTTAAGGATTTAAGTGGTAATAATGTAAATATCAAAATTTAGATGTTAGATATGTAAATATAGAAGAATATGGGCGATGTAGAAAAATCCGAAACACGCGTCCTTGTATGATTGGTTGGTCTCCTGATTTTATAAATTCAAAAAACAACTTTTTATTTGGAAAATTTACATACATAGCACTCAATTCCTACGTATTTGCATAACTTTAACTTACACATATATACCTGCTAACTTCGTCACTTTTTAAAAATTAAAATAGTGATATATTTTTATTTAATCTAAAAGATTTAGATGGTATAATTGTAAGAGAAAATTAAGGATTTAGAAACGTAAATATATAGAAATTGGGTGGTAGGAATGTAAACGGCTAAAAAAAGTGTAAGATGGATCTAGATGTGTGATCTGAAACTGTGTGGAAGGCATGTTCAATTGGGAAATGAATGAGCGTCACGTAAGGCCTAAGCTTCAATCACAGCCGTCCATATGTTTTGAAGAATTTAATTTAAGAGAGGGACGTTCAACGCCCAAAGAATAATGACCGTTGGATTAGGCATATTACGCCCTATGAAATATCCTATCCATCTATTTTACAGACACAAGCCGCTTTAATTCATTAGCATTCGATCATGAGAGGGAATTTTGATTAAGATTGATTGATAAGTATTATGATACTTAGCTTAATATAGCAAGACCATGTTAGTAAGCCGGTTGGTTGACTGAACTTGTGATTATGTGTTTGATACGAAGAATTGAAAGGTATAATGTAAAGTACGAATAAATTTAAAGTTTATACCATAGTTCATTTTTGCTGAATTTACAGTTCGGTCGAATTTGAATTACTCCGTTCATTAAAAATATATAAGAAATTTTGCATATACAAGCTTGTTTCACGACGGCTGTTTGACTTGACAGGCTGAGCTTGTTTGGCTTCAGTTTGATTAAAACAGTTCAGTAAGGTATGTTGAGTCGGCGTAGTCGGTTGATTAATTTTTTTTATGATTTTGGATCGGCAGGACAGCTTTGGTAGGCCAGGCGTTGTCAATTTGTCTTCTTGTTGACTATTCTTGAATAAGACTAGATTATCGGACAAATGGTGAATCACTGTAACCCGATAGGTGACTCGTTGCTCGACGATGAGAGACTGTATGATGACTATAAGATTTTGTTATATTATCAATTATTTGTCCATGATGAGGAGATTCGGGGGAGTCCGTGAAATGATTGGTGATATTGAAGAACTGAGTATTTCCTCAGGTTGAACTTATTGGGAGGTAGGTTGATGCCTTCGGTCGGTTTTTTTTGTAGTGATTAACTCGAATGCTTGTCTATTTTTCTTTAGTCCAATTGGGTCGGATTCTGATCATTTTTTGTCATTATCTTAACTCGGTTGTCTTCGGCTTTAGCTCTGGTCGCTACATCCGATTAGATAAGTGGGGTGGGTCCTCATGATCATCTTTCG